CTTCTATTAAATAAATCAATGTCCAAATATGCAAAAATCGAACTGATCATGCTTCGGACTTATGTGAAAAGAATGTTTGGGTTTGTAATCCAAGTGAGAATATATATATTTTAAGACCTTACTAGTACTTGGAACAGTACTGTAATAATTTGATTATTTGAATCAAAACAATTCACAAACGTTATTATACTGACTAAACTTCTTAAATTTAAATATTTAGATTTGTACTGGTTTTCCCCCGACAACATTTGTTAAAATTTATATTACATTACTGACTACAGAAATTTGAAATGTTTGTTGATTTTCGTTGTCATAACATAACAATCACCATACCAGCCCCGATACAATACCATATACCATATATCATACTATGCCATACCATAACATACCATACCATATACCATACCATATATCATCACCAGCCATATACCATACCATATACCATACCATATACCATACCATACACCATATCATACACCATACATACAACATACCTATACCAACCATATACCATACCATATACCATACCATATACCATACCATATACCATATACCATACCATATACCATACCTTATACCATATACCTTATACCATATACCTTATACCATATACCTTATACCATATACCTTATACCATACCATATACCTTATACCATATACCATACCATATACCATACCATATACCATACCATACACCATACCATATATACCATACCATACTATATACCATACCATACCATATACCTTATACCTTATACCTTATACCATATACCTTATAGCATATACCTTATAGCATATACCTTATAGCATATACCTTATACCATATACCTTATACCATATACCGTACCATATACCACACCATATACCACACCATATACCAACCATATACCATACCATGTACCATACCATACCCTACCATAGCATACCGGTCACCATACCAAATACCATATCATACCAGTCACCATACCATACCATATGCAATACCATACTATACCATATCCCATCCCATACCATACCAAGCACCATACCATACCATACCATACAATATTTTACCAGGTTCTACGGGTCATGCCTACCGGAAGTGGTTCAATCTCTTGATCATCCTCGCCATCATTTTCGTCTGCTAGACGAACAGCCATGTTGGGACACCTCCAAAATATCGTACTAATAGATATAGAGATACTTTTATAATATCTAGTCTAATAAACTCGTAAAAATTGGTATTTTATAATACAGAACTAATAGTTAAGAGATACTTTTTATAATATTAAATTAGGAATTTTTGTAATTGTTTTAAACGGAACGACTGCGAAAAATGCAGCACAAGGACCTCTGGTAGGAATTGAACCTACGGCCCCGCGATTCTGGTGCAGCGCTCTAACCAACTGAGCTACAGAGGCCAGCTGTTGAGCTGTAACCGTAAGTTCATGTATATATAGGTAATCGGGTGTGCGGGTTGTGATAAGGTGGACTTCAATAATTTGGATTCTTGCACTTCACTTGGTGAAATTAATATTGTAATGTTAGGGTTGTGTAACCCTAACATCTCAAGGTAGCGTTCCAGTTATATTCATTTCAGCGACCAGACTTTCATTTTTCTTCACCCGCCAGGAAAGAAATTCACTTACTTTACTGATGTACGTTTTCAACTTCATGGCGTCCATAAAAGGACGGTATTCGTCAGATGGCGTCATCAATATATATTCACCAAATGCTAAACCAAAAATGGATATATTTGATGTCAGGATTTCGATGTGTTCCAGCAAGCTACTAGTTACAACGTACCAGTCGTGATACCAATGACAACATTTTCTCCACCATCAAATCCAGTTGTCCACCATTCATTGATTGGACCGATAGCCTTCGTTGCTATTCCACCTTCAGTCGAGAAAAATGGCGTCAAAGAGAGCACATTAGACCACGTGGTACAATTACTTTCTGTGAATACACGTTCGGTTTATAAGTCATTTATGTCTGCAATCTGCATGATGTAGTTTGTTACATAGCTAGGGTAACACCAAACGTGATTTGCTAATTTGTTGTCACGTGGCTTTAGCTAAATGCAATGCATTCCGCCTGGCAAAACAAGTAAAAAATTGTTGCCCGCCCAGACCGGCTACGTAGACAAGAAAAAAACAAAATGGCGGCACAACTCGCACTTCACTTTCCAAGTTTGTGTGAAAATAAAGAATGTAAAAGACAAGAAAAATGCACAACAGGCAACAGGATTGCTGCTGAAACCGCTTAAGGTGGCTCCCTACAGTTAGTACAGTTTAAATACGATTTATATAGATCAGACTTCATCCTCGCGACCTGCGCGTGGAATCGTGTTCGGGCCAGTTCGGCAAAAATATCGAAACAAGCCGTGGGAAGTTTTTTGGCGTTTTTATCTACAAAGAAAGCCCCAGTTTTTCATTATAATCCTAATTTTTTCTGAATTCGAACAGTACGTATGTTATTAACTAGTTTAACCTATCTTTTAGCGTGTTTTTACGTATTTACGTTCAGTATTGTCTTTCATATTGCTCAAAATTTTCAACTTGTTGTTTTGCGAGCTGTCAAACAGAAATGATACTGTCTTCTATTAACTCTTGAACAGCAGTGAACTGTTGCCGAAACTTATATAAGTTCTGTCAATCAATTCAATTTACAGGTATCGTTTTATCTGCTAAATCAAATAAAACAGTTATGAGTTGTTTTATATGAAAAGTTAAACTTGTAGTTCGATGTTTTGAAAAGTTTTACACCGATTTTAACAACAAAAACAAATGTAAACTAACACTGGATTTAATACAATGCCTATAATAGTGTTTTTTTATTAGTATTTTCAAGATTAATATTTTATTTTCATGTCAAACAAGTCAGAAATATCTGTTTTCTTATGTATTGTATTAAGCCAAAAAGTTGAAATCACTATAAATCACACGCTACAATTTACACGCATGCGCAGATCGTGCTCATGTCGAGTCGATTTTTTTTCATGCTGGCCACGCCGATTTTAGTGATGATTTTCTCGTGTTTTCTTCGGTGAAATTTTTTTAAACTTTGTATTTTTGTTATACAAGACGAGTGGTACAACATATCCAAATTTTAAGAAATTCTACAAATAACTTTTTCTGTAACCGTCATTCACGAATATCTCGAAAACTTATTTGTAAATTCCCTTCAAATTTTGATATGTTTTTCCTTTATGGACCATAAATCTTAAAAAAAAATTTCAGAAAAATTGACCGAAGGAAAATATAGATATTGTCAATTTATTGTGAAATTAGACAATAGAAGTGCAAAAGATTAAACGTCATGGTTGCCATGGTAACACAAACACTGTTTTAATTTGTTCATAAATGGACAGCACACAGCTTCTGAACTTTCCTGGAAATGATCATATTGTCTTGTCTTAAGTGTATCTAATATAAATTCGGTTCAAAGCGAACGATACTCAAAATACCTAGAATTTTAGAGAACTGTAGGGAGCCACCTTAAGTAGATTCTTTTAATTTTAGGCTAAACTCGTTTACATTACAGTTTTTGTCATGAAATGCAATTGTTGTATGAATGAATGTTAATTGTTGATTTTTCTTTCGTCGCTATATAAAACACTTGCCTGTTTTCACTTCGAATCTCAATCTTTCCATAGACTTCGTCTCGGAAACATCGAGACTTTCAGGAAAACAAAACTATTTCCCTCGGGAGCAGACATTATAGGTATAGGTAATAGCATGGTTTCGAGTGCAATTTGGATATAACATGCACGAGTGAGTTTTTCAAAGACCTCAAAATAACATTAAGGTAAATGCTTTTCCATTTAAAAATAAAGATAAAAGCCATATTTTCCACGCGAAGGCAACTTTTACTTTGTGTAGCGCGGCTTTGTTTTGTTTTGAAGCAATCTGTGACCGTTACTTCTTTAAAACTAAACCGCCTTAAACTGATTGGTTAATTTAATCATCACAATGTTTTTCCACCAATCAGATCAGTTTGTTACAGATTTTTGCACTGTGATTACAGAAAATTGCACTGTGATTACAGAAAATTGCACTGTGATTACAGAAAATTGCACTGCTGTTTGGGATTAACTGCACTGAAATCAACCAATCAGAGTCGAGTAATATCTTTATGTATATTATTATATAGGTAATAGGATGGTTTTGAGTGCAATTTGGATAAAACATGCACGAGTGAGTTTTTCTAAAAGAATCAAAAGGTATTTGAAGAGAAACCGTCCATAATACGTATTAATAATATGCACAAAAATGTTCGGGACAACTTTTTTAGTTTTAAACTTTATAGCGAATTGTCCACTATAACAAAATTCCCTGTTTTGTTATATCAAATTAAACAACGCTAACGGCTTGAAAATTTCACTCAACTATGTAAGTTTTGTTAGCCTTGTTTAAGGTAAAATCTTTCCCATTTTTTTAAAACGACAAAAGCTATATTTTCAACCCGAACCCAACTTTTACTTTACGTAGCGCAGCCGCCAACTTTTGAAGCAAACCTGTGGCCGTTACTTGAGAACTGCTTAAAGCTGATTGGTTGATTTTAGATCGCACTGTTTTTCAACCAAGTACATCGGGTTGTTACAGATTTTTGCACTGTTGCTACATATTCTTCCACTGTTGTTACATAATTTTACACTGCTGTTTGAGATTAAATGCACTGACATCAACCAATCACAGTCGAGTAACATTTTTATGTATATTATTAACTGTATAATGTAACAGAATTTCAAGCAAATTGTAACAACACAAAGTAAGAGCACTGGTGTCTGTTGTAGCCGCTAATGAAAATTATCGCACAACGTGAAATGCAGAAGAAGTGGTGCAGGTATTGCCTGAGAGAGCTATTGCACCTAACAATTTCATCACATACCGTCTGCATTGGTATTATCATCGTAGATTGGTTTGACATATCCTGATAAAAACAGTTCTTTGTTCTTCACAATCAAACCAGTGTCAAAAGGACACAAATGAGTGCTTTTGTCGTAGACACTGAAATAGAAAAACACGAAATTCCTTGACCATGTTGCATTGAAGTACTACGGTAAATAGATCAACAGACTTACTGTTCATTGCACTGTTGCCCCAATGGCCTCGTTTCCACGTTTGCCTGTTTTGGCAATGGGTTATCCCATGTTTCATGAACATTCTTTTTTTCTACCTAATCTTGATTCCAATCACAAGCCTATCCTTACCGCATGGTGCACAGTGAACTCCATATCTGGTGCGAGAACTCGACGACATAACGTGAAGCCAGCTTCGTGTTAACCGCGGAAACAAAAACAATAGAAAGGGACTGGAACCTATGGGTTTTCAATTTTCTCAATCTTGGCAAGGAGTGTGTCGAATTTTCGTATTTGGACTTGGATTTGAAGACCAATCTTATGATTTTATAAACTGAAAACTTGATTAGCGATACGTCTGTTAGAAAAGCTGGTATTAACTAGCTGTCATCTTGGCATAACTCTTCTCATCGGCTGAATGACTGAAGTTCTTGCAGCAGAACAGTATATGTATCTGGTTTTGACCGGCAATTTGTAATCGGCTTGTACTTGGTCAGTTGCATGTTCTTAATTTATTGGAATGACATAAGAAAAAGGTGGCATTCAAAAGCTAGAACCCTATTTTTTAGTAATATGGAAAAATTTGGTCTGTGGCATGCACTGGCACTTAATATTGATGGCACATAAGGTACCTTTTATAACTGTATATAGACACACTGTATATACGATGTTGAAACAAACGATGTTTAACTAACAATTGTCCAGTTTTGTGTTTAACATGTGTTTGTTTTTTTGACCGAGACTGCTATACAAATTAATGTAATAACCACAAATCTAATTTAGTCTTCATTTTACTATAATCTTATAAATTAATCAATATTATCGTGGCAATACGGACCTGTAAATTAGCTTTTCTGTAGCTAAGTGTATTTTGATCACGTTAAATAAATGTTATTGTATTGTATTGTTATTGTATTGTATACAAACCTGAATTGTGTGATCCGATGTTGTGGTCTGTCAGCTTCATAACTGCCGTAAGTTGTCTCATCTCCAGTAAACAGCGAGAGTTTAGGATCAACTAACATCACAAATTCTTCAACCTGTGCAAAAATAAAATGTCGTCGATATCTTAGGCCGTTCGTCACACAAACAAAGATTTCTTCATGGGAAGTGCTAACGTATCCTATTTTCGCACGCGTTCGTTTGTTCTCACAAAGCGAACGAGCAATGCATTGAGCGAGTGGGATTTGTGACAACAAAATCTCAAACTCATTAATAAATCATGAGTGAATCTGCCAACCATATTGCTCACATGATAATACTGAGTGGTATATTGATCCAGTCCTAGGACTGGATCAAAATTAATTCAGTCCTTGGACTGGATCAAAATTAATTCACCTCACTTTAAGTAGTGATTTATTCGTATGAGAAATCATTCTAAATCCTCCAATTCGGACTGGACTAGATTTCAAGTCCTCACATTTTGATCCCATCTTCGGCTTTGCCGCGGACTTGATCAAATTGCGCGAACTTGAAATGCAATCCAGTCCTCCAATCCAATCCAATCCAATCTAGTATGGAAATATAAAATTATTATGGATAATCAAAAATCCATTCTATTTCCAATAAAGGTCCATACAATTTCCAGTTTCGGTTTATCTTATCTATCTTATCTATCTTATCTATCTTATCTATCTTATTTATCTTATTTATCTATCGTTTATCGGTTTTTCCAGTGGCGGTTTATCTTATTTTGAACACTGTGTGGCAGTACAGGTAGTGCAATAATAAAAAACCTCGGGACTACGCTAAGGACTACGCAAGACAATTAACTTGCCGACGAAGAGCCTTCGCTCGAAACGTCGAAGTTATGCTTGTATCTTTCTTTGCATCCCAATCAACCGAAGTTTTGCTTTCATTCAAATTTTAGTTTTGGTCAGGGCTTTCAAAATAAGCCGGCGGCCGCCGGAGCTCCGACAGGTGCTACAAGGTTTACCGCCGGTTACTTTGTTTGGTACTTGAAATATCAATTCTGCTCTCCTTTTTCCACTCTAAACTTTCAAGTTATTTTTCATCAACCTGGTCTACGCACTATTACCTTAATTATTATTGGCATGACAAAATTACTGGATGCTGATTGGTTGAGAGGAGTACAATTATTTCATTAATTGTACTGCAGTACAATTAATGATTTTCCCAAAACAAACAAAATGGCGGAAACGTATTTTAAACACAAATGCGAAATGAAATTGCCGTGTAGGAACTAGATGAAAATACGAACAAAAGCACCTCACTCGTACTATTAATCCCTAATTGTACTCGCCATCCCATGATTACCTATACTTAAAATGATTTAGTTATTTGCCATCGTTAAAGTTATCTTGTAAAAGAATGAAAGTAGCGATACATTATAACTTGGTTACAGAGCTCAGTTGTGTTGCTATCTAATCAATATACACTAGCTAATTTGGATAACTTTAAGATCCCCTAGACCGCCCCTTCCCAACAGCCGCCTACTCTATCAAAACAGACACTTACTCAGAGTAATTCTGAAAGCCGGCAGGGCGCGAAATAACGGCTGGAGGGACGCCGGTCAAGGTGACCGGCCAACTCAATTTTAGCTCGGACATACCGTATTTCTGGCCGGTCATATTATTCAACTTAAAGCAAAGCCTAGTAAAGTATATCCCTAAAAATGTGACTATTTTCTCAGTATAGCATTACAAAAAGCCTTACTGTAATCAGTAATTAAAAACTCCTTCGCATAAAACAACTTGCACTGCGCTAAATAATAATTAACTCTTAAGCCAAAAGCATGGCCATGGGCTTTGTGACGTACTGCGTGGGAAAGCTGGCGTACATTGAAGTTCTTTTCCCGCAAGATATTGGACAACATGTTATGGTTCTTAATTATAAGGCCAAAAAAAAATATGCGGGTTTCCGGTTTCTTCTCATAAAAACTTAGATAGGGTAGGTCGGTTTTAACTTTTTTTTTTAAACTTTTTTTTTAATTTTCCGAACAAGCGGACGCCATTTTGTTTAGTCAGTGCTTCCACATCCAAAGATAAATTTCCCTAATATTGCCTCAAATTTCAATTTACCACAAACTTTTTCCTCTAAGTGGAAACACTTACAAGCATGATCCAATAAAAAAAATTAGGGTCGGGATTTCAACGTCCAAAAGCTAGGTATAGGGTCGGGAAACCGGAAACCCACATATATTTTTTTTGGCCTAATGCTTAACAGCTGGGAAATTTGTTGTCGCTGTGCAGAGAAATTGCTGGCGCACGCGATATTTTACAAAAATTCGAAAATTTGAAAAAAAAACACGAGTGAAATTTCAACTGATGATTTTGCATTTTTAAGACGCGATCAAGGAAATTAAGTTGTTGGAAAAACTTCACTAACATCTCAAGTATGGAAAGCATCTGCATTACCAGAAATTTAATTGTGGATTGATTCAAAATGAAGGCGATAAAGTTACATAGCTAGGGGTTAGCTTTTGTGCTCTTCGAATATCAGTTTTCATTCGCGGATTACCGTAACTTATTGGCCTCATGGGTGCCAAAATCGACATAAACGTACACTGCTAACCAAGAACTATAAAACAAATAGCTTTTCAGAAAGATAAACTTTATTCAGTCAAAAGGATGAGGGTAAATAAACATGCTACTGCGTGATAGTGATTTCGAAGCAACTTTGTCACATATATTTTAAAAAGTGTGATAATTAATCAAATTTTGCTTTTTGCAATCCCAAAAAGGTATGAAAATTATTTAAATATTTAAAGTTTCCGTGTTTCTAAAGTATCTTTTTGAGAAAAGTAAAAATTTTCCCGATAAAAAAGCATAGTTTCTGCTGAAAACTGTTTTCTGGTAGAGAAGATCCTGGGGGAGGGGGTGTAGAAGCATGCGGGAATAGCAAAAAACCTTGACGTTTCCTCCAAAAAATTAATTCCAAATTTTGTTTTGCCTTTGTTTGATATGTAATTTAAACAAGTTTTTTTACATCTAAAAATTGCCCCTAGTGGTCAAAACTTGGATTATGTTCGAAGTATTGGTCATTTGTTTACTTTTTGGGATCAAAGTTTGAGGTCCAATTATTTTTAAAGTTTGCAAACTATCCAGCTAATTCTTGGCTGTTGTTTGCAGCCTTGTATGCTGATTAAAATTTAGTTTAGTCCACAATAGTAGATCCTTTCAATGAAGGGAAATTCAAAATAGTATATTTGATTACTTTTGCAGCACAGTCATTACATAGGTAGGGTGCAATACCAGGCCAAATTGCAAAAAAATTTGCCGATTCCTCCAAATTTAAAATCATATTTTTTTGCTCCCAAGGCACATAGGAAACATAATTTAACAACGAATTTTGTTGAAAAATTGCCCCTTTGCGTCTAATTTCGCTTTGAAATGCGTGCGTTTACTGCTCTTGTATGAAGCAAGAGTTCGAAAACATTCCGAAGTACTGTAAAATGTAATGAAATCGACAACTTGACCTTGCCCTTGAAATCTTGTACTGCCTCAGCACTGAATGGTTTTTGAACAACGATAATTTACCAGTGTTTCTTGAATATTTTCCTTGTTTAACTAGTAGAACCGAACGTACAAGTGCATCAGAAGACTAAGCGAGAGTTTTGTGTAGAAATGCTCTGTTTACAGGAAGTTATTTTGCATTCGCAAGCGTCAACAAAACTGCGCATCAAGTTCACACACAGTTTGATTATCATAGCGATAGATAAAAGCTTTGAAAATTCAATTGAAAACATTTTAAACCACCCGTATTTGTATAGAATATATGTTAGTTGTATTAACATTGAACTTCTTTCTGTTTGAACCCAAATTTGTACTTGTTTTGCGTTTGACCATTGTCAAGCTCGCGACGATTGGCTTTTATACCTCAGGCATAACTACAGATTTAGCGTGTCAAATGTCTTCTTGTTTGTGTCAAGATTATAATATTCTATTGCTGTTCAAACGAGATATTCTATACACTGGAAACGTAGTGTACATTTTACTTTGTCTTTATCTCAAGCAAAAAAAAGTATAAAGATTAAACAGGCATTCAAAAATATACAACAACCACGAACATCTCGTAATATTTCTTCTATTCGGGGAAATCTTCAAGTTTCAATGGAAATCTGGCGCATGCGCAACAAATTTCCCAGCTGTTCTAATGCTTGACAACTTTGTTTTGATTCTTAATTCAAATGAAGATTAGTTGTTTGTTCTTTTACCAAAAGTGACCGGTCAAAATGACCGGCAAGGTAAGAATTTGACCGGACAATTCCGCATTCTGGCCGGACATTGTCCGTTGACCGGCCGTTATTTCGCGCCCTGTAAGCCCTGTTTGGTTTGTTTAATTATCTTTGCCTATAACTATACTTATAGTGAACGATAAATACTCAGAATTCAAAAAAGTCATATGCCTGCAATTCATTTAAACAACAATAAATATGTTTTAAAATGACAAAAGAAAGTTTATAATTCAGTTTCAAGCGAAATAAACGAAGTCAAAGGGCGGGAAATTCCAGCCATAAGTGAACTTACTCATACACTGTATGTCATCGTTGTATCATTTGATTGGACGAAACGGCTTTTAACACGTGTGAGAAAATTGTTTCGCTTTTCTGATTGGCTAATGTGCATTACGAAACGAGTTGTCCATGAGTAAATCCATTGGGAAAACTCACTATCCATACAATAAACGTTATTTTTGGGATTTATCCAATCCATGCACACTGTCAACATTCCCTGTGAGAGCTGAGCGTCATAGAGTCATTAGGAAGGGTCAAACCCACGATCTCAGAGGCAAAAGAAGGTTGATATTACCAATTGGGTCACCGCAACCCCTGCAGGACACGTGTTTCAGTAAACGTCTAGCATTTGCTTACCGCATCGTCAACATCACCGCTAAACAAAGAAAGACATTCCAGTAGTTGACCACATTCGGAACATTTCGTTGGAACCTGTTAACAAAGCAATATTTTTGTGTCATAAATATTATTTTGTGAGAATTCTATTTTCATATAGCGAGTACACTGTAACATACTTTCCGATCTATGTCCATTGGAATTTTCATCACGTTGCTTTCATTACTAAAATTGAAAGAGAGGAAACTAAGTATTTTATCACATTTTTAAATTACAGGATATAAGGTCCGTTAAAGAAAAGGCTTCGTGTTTATTGCGCAGAAAAAAACAATAGATAGGGACTGGATCCAATAACTCTTAAATTTCCGCCAGCTTGCCTTCACTTTTCGGACTCGAGTTCTTAGCTCACTGGATTTTCTACATTATTTCGAATTCTCGAAAACTACCACGTGTTTCTGTAATAGTTGTATAAAAAACTGTTTCTATTTCTTTTATAAAACTAATGTAAAGCAGTTCACCATCCTGTTTCAAGGTCCCAATAGAGTTTGTCAGAAGTGCACAGACGATAAATTGCTTCAGGAATAGAATTTTGAAATACTTGCTACATCCCTAATTACGTTTTTCCTGACCGCATTTTAACTAATCCTTTTTATGATCTACATTATTTTCTGCTAGGCCTACTACTGCTCCAAGAAGACATCCTACTTACAAGTCCTATGGTTTCTGGATGCCGCCTTGCCACGGACATCTGATTTATGGTGTACATATATTGACTATTTAAAACTAACTACAGTATACACTGTATATTATCATAATGAAACAACTTCTATATATAACTGATATCTGTGGTAAAATTAAATTATCCTTATCCTCAAACAAGTTGTTATTGCCATTTTTTTATACCAACTAATTTAACAATTCTCATTACTATGCATTAAATGCACACGAGGTTGGCCTGTCTTCGTGGATTTGACCACAAAATCGTCAAGTACTCCTCTATTTGAACTGAGAAATCGCTTTTCGTTCAGTGGTTTTTACTTTCGTTTTCAAAACTATCGCATTTATCGAACTTTTTTCGATTACAGCGCGTGTTAAAATTGTTTTGTTTACGTTTTCAAAATTAGAGATTCGGATGCGGGAAATTTTCGGTGTTTCCATAAAGTTATAGAAATACGCTTCTTGAACAATCAACGCGCTAGGCCTACTGCTATAAATGTTAAACTACAATCATCACTGCAAAATAATAATAACCTGGATGTTTCTTCAACTTCGCCATTTTCACAAGGCTTGCCTTCAGTTTTTTGTCTTTTGCAATCCTAAAGAATAAATGGTTCTTAGCAGAAATCTATAGATATTTCAGGGAGAGACCTATTTCGTAAAAACGCATTCGGATGAGTTCAGATTGGTGCACTGTTGTTGGATGATGAATCATTCAATTTTCGAACGGAGCAGATTCTCTAGTGGATGTGCAAAAAAGCAAATACAGCATTTCCACGGGGTGGATATCTCAAGACAATGGTTATTTGTAAGGAGAGAGGTTCAAATTATGCATTATGAAGTGGGAGCATAATTTTCAGAAAGCCATGCAGAGTCTGACCTGAAGGTGGAGATGAAGACTTCATGAGACTGGCATTTGAAAAACACTCGGGTTAAAATTACCTTCTTAACCACAAATAACACTGTTTGTGTAACTTAATATTCCTGCCAAAATTTCCAGGTTATTTTATTTCACCATAGTGTGGTTAATGTAACCAGGAATCTGGGATATTTATGAGGGCATCCCTGTTAAGATAACCAGAAAAGGGTGGATACAGTAACCAGAGCTACCCTCGTTATTTATCCACCCTAACACAGTCTGGTTAAATTAACCAGATTTACCTCGACTATATAGTAGGAAAAAGGATGAAATAATCATGCAGGAAATGTAACCAGGAATATTGAGTGAATCCAAGTTGGGTTATCTCGAGCTTAACCAGGGAAATATTCAATCAGTGATGCATGACACTTGCAAAATATTTGTGAATTGAAAATAAATAACACACCATTGTATCTTCACTATTATTCTTGTTCTCCGCTTCTGTTTCATCATCTGATTTCTTTCTTTTGCCATTTCTACACGTTGTTAAAAATAATATTCATAAGTGTTAACATGCACTTAGGCCACATAAAATAAATTCCTTATTCTCATCACTACACTTAAAAAATATCGAAGAGGCGGGAGGTTTATATTTTATATTTTATATTTATATAATTTAATATATATCAATAAATAAAAGTGTCACAAACTGAAATAAACATATTTCTCCACGAACAATGACTGGCCCTTGAACTGAATGCGTTAAAATGCAATGAAATTTCTTTCAAGGTTCTATTTGTTTGAAATTGGCAATTTAAAATGGCACTAAAAACCCAATATAAAATATAAAAAACTTAACTGTCTTGAAATATTTTGCCGGGCGGTGCATTTATATTGTATAACAAAATATAAAAAAATTTCAAGCGGCTCTTAAAATACAGTCGGGCGGTGATGAGAATCAAGGAATTTATTTTATGTGGCCTTACTGTATATTTGTATTTATGAAATTATTATAATTATGAAATTAGCCTGGACAAAGATTCCTTACTGTTTTGAAAACATGTCCAAAATGTTTCCCTGAACCTTTTTCTTTTTCACAGTGGGTGGACTTTTCTAAAAGATACAATTGGAGTAACTTAGTGCCAGCCCGCTTGCTAGGGGCAAGTAGAAGTTGGTTCTTGGTTGCCCGATCAGGCAAGTTGCATTACCAGAAATATTGCACACTAAAATGTTTGCTTGGTTATACGCATGGTGTTTTCGACTCTTTAATCAATAAGCTGAAATCAACACTTCATGTTTAAGTCATAAATTAAATTTACTAAGGAAAACATAATATTGGAATGGTGATTAACCAATGCTTGATAATTAATACAATCATTTTCTTCAAATTTTAATTGTTATTATGTCAAGACAGACTAGACCTGATGGCAAGTGAGTTTCATTCCAGGCGACCAATTTTTCATGTCTAACTTTCCATCATAGCCAGTGCATGGTGGTAGCCTGCATCAAGCACATTAGAGAGAGGGGCGGGAGGGGGCTGGGGTATTAGACGGCAGTTAAGCATCACGTTGGCGGGAACGGCAAACGGCATTTTGTTGGCCGCCGAGAATTTTTGCTTAACCTCTTCGCTTCATCTTCTCAATCATCATATAGAGTTAATTTCCCATTTCAGTATTACCTTGTACCATTTGACGTTTGAACGCGTGAAGCTTATAAACTCCCTAAGGCCTGTTTTATACGTCGAGTTTTGGTCGCGTCGAATGCAATTAAGACAATAGATAATTGGAAAATTAAACGAGACTTACCTGTAAGTTGAAGTTTGATTGGAATTCTATCACATGGCACATAGAGTCAGGAGATTACATGAGATCGAAAGGCGCATGCGCGGGTTCATTCTTTAAAGCATTTTGCTGGGTTCATCAGTATAATTACACACAGGGATATTGATAATTATAATACACCCAGCGATAAACCAAAGTAGGGACATGGGCAATATAATATGTGTTTTGGACTTTGTCCAGTTTATTATATAGTTCATGTTAATTTATTATGGTAATAGACTTTTGTCCAGTAACATTGAAAATAGAGAGGTCAGAGGACAGAACGAACACAAAACGTTTTGAGAAACAGAGTTTTTTGCTGTAAAATGTTGAGTTGTACTAAATAAATATATGAAAACCTCATGGTTAATGAAAATTACACGCCGTCTATAACAAAGCTGGTCCTTCGTCGAGCCGGATAAGAAAGAAAATGCCAGAAGTAAGCGAAATTGACAAGTGTAGAGCGAAGAGAAAAGTCGCGAAAGCTAGCGTGACAAGAAATATGAATCGTGTCAGAGAGCTGATCTCTAGCGATGGAAGTGTTTCGAAAGTCCGACAGTTTGCCAAAGGTGTAGAAGAAGGTCGTACAAAAGCCCGTGACCTTACGAAAGAACTGGAAGAGCTTGATCCAGCGTCAATTGAGACTGATGGTGGCTGGTTAGAAGAGGTAGAATTTGATGTCAACGAAGTCCTGGGAGAAGTTGCTGAATATTTGTTAAAGTCTGAGAGCCCATCGCCAAACGAACAGTCTAGTATTACACCACCAACTGCTCAGAATAATGATGAAAATACTGAAACTGTGAACGATTCAATGTCTGGGAAAAGAACTGGTCTGAAAGGTGTTGAAATCCCATCATTCGATGGAAAACCAGACAAGTGGCCGTACTTTTGGGGAATATTTAGTTCTCTTGTCCATAAAAACAATAAACTAACGCCAGCAATCAAGCTAGCTCATCTGAATAGCTGTTTAACGGACAGAGTACGTGAAGTTATTGCATGCCTGACCGGGGAGCCTGGGGACTATGACAGGGCGGTGAAACAACTCACTGATAGGTATGGGGACCCCCGAGAAATTATAGATGCCCATTTGCGCAGAATAAGTTCTTGGCCCCACATTAAGGATAAGGATCGTGAAGAATTTCAACGCTTTGCAGATGCATTACAAGCAGCTGTGTTTGCACTAGATAAACCTGACTATAGGCATGAATTAGCTAGTATACCTCTTTGTACCTTGTTGGTTCAAAAACTCCCACCTAGAGAAAGGGATGAATGGGTAAAACAGGTTGAGAGTGAAGATTACTCGGAAGACATGAAGGGTTTAGCCAAGTGGGCCCAAGTTAGAGCCAAAACCATGCGTAAACGTGAGCGATACAATATTGAGCCGCCAGATAAGGGTAAAGAGTCAACTAATTTTCAGCCACCAAGTCGCATGCGAGGTAGGGTCCATGCTCTACGCACATCTGGATTTGATCCAGAACACCAAAGTTTAAAAAATTGTCCATTGTGTGATAAAAAACACACTGAAGTCTCATGCCCTTTGTTTTTTGATAGTTCTGTTGAGAAACGTTGGGAAATTGTAAAAAATAAAAGGGTATGTTTTGGTTGTTTGAAACCTGGCCACCAACGGCGCCTGTGCACAAAGTCCACCAAATGTGGGGTAGACTCATGTGACAAAGGCCATCATTATTTATTGCACAGTTCTAAGTCTAAGCATGAGAAACCATCTGATGA